TCAACTTTAAAAAATATTAAAATTATTTTTAAACTTTTATTTTCAATACTAAAATGATCATTCCGTCAATTAAATGAACAAGTTACACGTTAAAATGTCACAAAATCACATTTTTAAAAAATTAATAATTACATGGAAAACATACTATACAAAAAGTGATAAGATGACATTTTTTCTTTTTCCATGTTTTTTTTATTTAAATAAAAATTAATTTATAAATTAAATGAATTTCAACATAATTAAGGGTCTGTTTGATGCAGTTTGTTGCAGTTTTTGCTTTTTTTGTATTGTTCATTAGTGATAAGTTTAAATTTTTATTGAAGAGAAAATTTAAAAGTTACTTTTAGATATAGGAAAAAATGAGTAAAAAAGAAGTTTATGAAAAGTTTGAATTTGAAACTTTTGATATTTTACTGTTTATGGTCTTTTTAAGGTTAAAAAAAATTTAAAAATGTAAGTTTTTAGGAGGAAAATTTAAATTTATAAAACATGAATAGTCTTAAAAAGCTGAAGCACTTGGGAAGCTACACCAAACGAAGCCTAACTCTCATTTCTTCATCTTCTTCTTTCTCCTCATCCTCAGCATTATCATCTCAACGTTTATCTTCACCATCTCTTCCTCTTCATCATCCTGGTTCCTTGTGGAGCCCAAATCTAGGTTCCATGAGGAACCCAACCTAATGCTAGGTTCCTTGAGGAACCTAGGTTCTGGGTTTCACGAGGAACTCAGTTTGAGGTTCGACTAGGAACCTAAAACCTGGGTTTTTCAAGGAACCCAATTCTGGGTTCTTGGGGGAACCCAAGTTTTGGGTTTCATCGAGGAACCTGGTTCTAGGTTCCTTGAAGAACTTAGGTTTTAGGTTTCACGAGGAACCCTTGATGAACCCAATTCTGGGTTCCTTGACGAACCTAGAACTTGGGTTACACAAGGTTCCTTAAAAAACCTTGTTTCTGGGTTCCTCGCTGAACAAACCCTAACATTTCTTTCAGTAATTTCACTTCATTTCACAATTTCACTTCATTTCCACAGCTCTGAGCACGAAATTCATATTCTTGGTGATTGATTTGACCAATTTGGAAGTTTGGGATGGTAAAGCTAGTTTCTCTTTGCTCTATTTCTTCACCTTCTTGCTTTGTTTGGTTGTCGAGAAAATATTTCTAATCCTTTTTTTTTCCATAGAAAAGCTTTTTCATTTTGCACTATATGGAAACTCAGAATGAGTTTGAGTTTTTCCCTTCCTTTTTCTTTCATTTTTCATTGAATTTCATCTGTATCTTCAAATTTTGGAAGTCAATATTGAGTTCATGTCTGTTTTTGTTTGGTCTTGGGGAACTCAACTGAAATTGAAAAAGAGAAAACAAATATTCATGTGAGCCCCACTAAAAGAGGAAGTTGAAAATGGGGAAGCAATCTTACGTGTAAAAAAATATGCCACCTGGTAAAATTTTCTTCGTTGGATTTACATGTCATTAAGATTAAAAAAATCCAATGATTTTGTGGCATTTTAACGTGCCACATGTCCATTTAACTAATGAAAAGATCATTTTGGTATTAAAAATAAAAGTTTAGGAATAATTTTAGTATTTTTGAAGTTGAGGGATATTTTTATTACCAAAGTGGAAAGTTGAGTGATCAAAATAGTATTGAAACGCTTTTTTTATAAGAATCATATATATATTCAAATCCACGCATTTATAATTGATTTTTTTAGATAAATTTTTATAATATGTAAGATAAGTGTGGATTAATTAAAGGAAAATAATTATGAAACAATCTTTTTATATTATTATTTTATGGAAATGATTTTGAGATAATCTTTTTGTATTATTTTTTTTGTACAAACCTGATATGTAATTTAAGTGATTTATTTTTTTTATTCATGTGAGACTTATGATATTAAATATATCTACTCATTTGATGATACGTGAAAGTTGTATAAAAAAATGGTATAAAAAGGTAATTTCTATAGTATCACCAATTATTTTATAAAACTTTACATATTATTTAAATAAATAACTATTTTATTTATTTGACATCTATGATATTATGTGTTTACTAATTTAATAATAAATAAAAATTATATAAAAATTTTATATAAAAAAATTAACTCTATATCAATGCCCTTAATTAAACTTTTTTTTATCATTAATTGTAATAAAAAAGTAAAAATGACTAATTTTTATTGAGTTGTTTTAAAGAATAACAAATATATATTTTTATCATAAATTTATGTTGAAAGAACAAATATTAACCTTTGATTTATCAAAATTAAATTCAACCACGTAGTAACAGTATTAATATAAGTTTTATATATTTTATATAAATTAATAATAAAAAGATATTCTTAATTTATCTTTTAAGAGGCATTAAAAAAACTCATTTTTATTTTATTCAGTTAATCAATTAAAATCCTATACAATATTAAAAATAAAATTTACTTTAATGTTCCTATATAAATTAA